TGTTGAATCCCAATTGTTTGCAGGCAGAAGGCGAGGAGCCGATCCATGTTCGGGCCCAAATTGCAATCGGCACCATGCTTTCATGGGTTATAGCTTCTAAAAGCGCCAAAAGGCCGAGATCCCCGAGGACGAGCAAGCTCCGGTGCAGGGCCCAAGCTTACCATTGAGATGTTGGTTGTCATTTCTTGTGAGCCCAGGACCACTTTGACCCCTGGGTCGGGCCCTTGGCATGCTTGCATGCATCATATATACTGCTGTAGATTTAAGATATGCCCGGAGGATCAGGAGGAGTATGCCGAGGCCGAGTTAGCACTGCTTTGCTTCCTGGATGCTGCCTCTTGCATGCACCACCCGATACATTGTTCAGGACATTGACTCCAGTGGCGACTTGGAGGAGGCATTGACTGGTGCCTGCATGCATGATTTCAGCGACACTATATACAATATACCCTAAACATAAACCCTAAACCCTGAACCCTATTAGAGCCTAAACCCTTAAACCGTGTAGAATTGGAATGTCCTTTGGGCAGGATCCTCTTGTGGATGGCTTGCAAGAAGCCCAGGAGGCTGGATGGAGGTCATGCCCACATGCACACATCCCGTGCACTTGTGTTGCAGGAGACAGAAGAAGTCGCTTTGGAAAAGCCCGTGTTCGCCGGGTGCTTGTGTCTTAGGTTTTCGCTGGGTCGGTATAATGAACATCTTAGGTGCCAGTGCCTCCGAAGCCGAAGAAGCGAGCACAGACCTCAATTCCACTTCCAGCACATTTAATTGAATCCTTGTCCGGATGCCAAGGCCGTGGATGGATCCACTTTGGCCGTGTTCTTGAGTTGCATGGCTTCCTTCTTCAACGAATGCTCGCCGTGCTGAGGTCAAGGAACCGGAGGGACCACCTCCGAGAAAGTGCCGAAGGTGGCCCGTGGGGGCCCCATTGCATGCATGCAAATTGGATTGTTTGCTGCTTCTCCTCGCTGCTGCTGCTGAGGCGGCAGGATCGAGCAGCTCTTGGGAGGTCGGTCTGCTATTGCGGCCGAGTTGTTTCGGTGCTTCTGAGATGTGACAGGGGTTGCCGATGATGGCTTGGGAAGCCAACTGGCAGGCCATGCTCACTTGGGCTCACGAGGGCACATGTGCATGCACACATCTAATATGAAATATATGTGTGTGTGTGTGTGTCTACATCTACATTTACATACATACATACATACATATATATACATACACATATACATACATGCATACATGCATACATACATATTATACATACATAATAGATAGACATTCTAATATATGCACATATACTTTCTCGATAGTGAACATTCAACATGCAATCCTGCCTGCGAGCTGATAGCCCTGCAGGCGAAGTAGTATATAGCCACATATACAAGGCAGTCTGTGTGTGTAGATATACACATAAATAATAGGGTTTGGTGTTTGGGCTTAGGATTTAGGATTTGTCCTGGTTCCGGTCAGCTGAAAGGTGGCTGTGCCCAATGCTGCCGGGATCCAGCAGTGGGGCAAGGACAGGGCCCCAGCTACTTTGGTTTGATGTTTTTTTCCGTTGGTCACCGACTTGGATGCACGAGGGCTCCGGATACAAGGGGCAGCAGATGGTCAAGGCCGGGGAGTTTGTGGTGCCAAGCTCGTCTCGCAGGGCCATTGGCTCGCGAGCAGAGGGAAGCAACCGTGAAGCTTGCAGGTGAAGGCACCGTGGGCAGCCACAGGCGCCAAGGCCGCAGGGCACCAGCTCTCCGGGTTCGTCGACTCGGAGGGCACTTGGTGGCCGCCGGGGGCCGGCAGGTGGGGTCCAGTCGAGGTTAGTGCACAGCGAACCCGTATTGTTCATGTTGCAGGACCCGCAGCCGGACAAGGGCTGGGCAGCAGGTTCAGATGGCCCGAGCCGCTCCTGCTGCTCTTGCCCTGGCATCGGACAGTGTTGCCACGGTTCGAGAGCAGGCGGGCTTCTGAAATCAGCAGTGGAATGTGGCTCCGAACATAAGTGTTTCCGTGCTGCAGACCCAGTTCCAGAGGGAGCTGCTCTCCTTCGCGATGCAGCAGAAGCCCAAGTGAGGCAGGCTTTTCATGGCTTTGCAAATGATGACATGTGCCCCACCGGAGCCACCACCCACCACATCCCCGGCACCGACATGCAGCAACACTGTGTAAATGGGACAACCAGCACTTTTATCGATCTATATGGGTGCGGTGGCCGGGGTGACCACGGAAATATCGATCTATAAAGGCGGGGTGGTGGGAATGGCACGGCCAATATCGATCTATAATTCTGGCCTGGCCGGGGTAACCCCCCGGATATCGATCTATAAAAATGTGGCCGCCGAGACCAAACCGGGAATATCGATCTATAAAAAACTGGGTTTCGAGGTTCCGGGCCCTTGTGCCCCCAAACTCAGCAAGCCTGGCTGTACAATGGCCGGGTTGGGCTATCGGGCCGGGCCCCTGGAGTGGGTGTTCCATGACTCAACAACAACATCACGGCTGCCTCGCTTGTGCCTGTGTTCATCTCTAGCCTTCCCGTGTTTCCTTGGACCGGCTTCGTTCCAGATTGCAGGTGCCTGGGACATGGATGCCGTCTTCAAGTTTTGCATCCTTATATGCTTGGTTCTCAGACACCAAATCTTGGGCACCATGGGCATTGATGAAGCCTGCATGCTCGTGCAGGTCCTGGCCCTGTGGCTTCTTCCGTGATCTTCCTACTGAGCTCTGCCGGGTTGGAGCCTGGACCGAGACTGTGCTGTGGGCTTCTAAATGCATGTAGACCTGCAATGTAGGTGGCCTGATACTTTAGGGACCTTCAGGCCTCGGCTTGTGGCTGCTGCCAGGAACATGTCATCCTGGCTCTAGCTTCACTATATTTACATAATATCTACATATGCACACACACACATACACTCAAAACCTAAATAAATGGGCACGGTACATGTTCCCTGCTTGTGGCTGCAGCCGAGGCTATGGAAGCACTGGCATTTAAACTAGACACATATACATGTGCCAGCCCGTGTCTTGGTCTGGGTGGGCTCTTCTTGCTGTGGACTAGCCGAAATTGGCCCCGGGTCCAGCCCTGTATACGAGCATGCAGTAGCCGTGTCGCGAGTCCGACTGCAAAAGATTCGGGATGTCTGCCGGCGAGCATGCACTGCCCTGCCCTGGCGATTTCCTTGTGTTGCATGCTGTGCATTGCAGTGAGGGCAGAAGAGACAAACGAGAGAAAACAGCACAGGGCACAGAACTATAAACATTAGCTTGCAAGGTAACCTGCAACTGTGCAGTCGCCTCCCCCTGTCTCTCTCATTCTCTTAGACTCTATATCACTCTTCATTATATCCTTTATGTTCTTATACATATACTAACACTATAGAGCTATATTTATATGCATATATATATATATATATATATACATACATACATACAGATACAGACCTATATATATATATATACATATACATATATTTATATATATATGTATATACACATACATTGCTATAGTTTATACATATACATATATATACATTGTAGACATAAGCTCTATATATATGTATACACACATATTATACATATACATATATACATATACACACACACACACACACACATATATATATATATATATGTATGCACTATAGATGTGAGTTGTATGGTTGCCACAATAAACATATGCTAAATACTGTATATACATGTATATAGGATGAAAATATATATATATATATATATAGATAGATGGATAGATAGATATATGTATGTGTATATATATATATATACACATATCTACGAGTTGCTTGGTTGCTCGCTTGTTTCATTGTTGCTTCTCTGGTGTGCAAAACAAGCAATGACATTCGGCACACAGCCAACCAAGACACGAAGACACAACAATGACATCGTCGTCAGCCCTTGTTTCCGGATGTGGCATATTTCTCGGTACAAGTGGTCACCAGGACTGCACGTGCGGTCCTACATGATGTGCATGTGTGTTCTTGTTGTGCTTCTGTTGCTGTGCTTTCGTGTGTATCTATATACTGCTGCTGTCTTTGTGTGTCGCCATTGCTGTGCACGTCGGTGTCTCGCTGTGCCTGCATGCATGTGGCTGTCTTTGTGCACTGTGGGACTGCTTCTGTGTCTCTCTCTGTGAGTGTCATGTGTCTTGGCTTTGTGTTTTCATGTTCTCTTGGTGTCTTGCGATCGAGACGACACAGACAAAGAGACAGAGGCATCAATGACCGTCATGTATTGACACATGTGCCCAAAACAGGAAGTACAGAGACATGCACAACAGACATGCATTCAGATAAACCAAGCAGGCATGGGAGGGATCGAGGCAGGAGGAGGAGGGAAGCAGCCAGAGAGCCATGGATATATAGGAGGTGGGCATGGCTGAGGCAGCTTATATAAGGGGCCGGAGGGGATGGTGACTGGAGAAAAGGACGATGGAAGGAACAGGGAGTTTAGATTCGGCTGCAAAAGACAAAGGAAACGAAGTGAGGATGCCGGCACACCACACATAAGACATGAGAGCGAACAACTTCAAATCATGTCCGGGTGTATATAGTCTGTATACGGAACTATCATATATATATATATATGTATATATGTATATATATATATATATGTATATATATATATATGTATACATATGTATATATATATATATATATGTATATGCATATATATATACTTTGGAGAAGGAGAAGCAAAAGCCAGAGACAGAAAGAGAGAGAGAGAGAGAGAGAGAGAGAGAGAGAGAGAGAGAGAGAGAGAGAGAGAGAGAGAGAGAGAGAGAGAGAGAGAGAGAGAGAGAGAGAGAGAGAGAGAGAGAGAGAGAGAGAGAGAGAGAGAGAGAGAGAGAGAGAGAGAGAGAGAGAGAGAATCCAAAATTTCGCGAACCTGGCCCGCCGATATGTCCAAGCAAGGCTCAAAAGGATTGATTGCAAAGATCGGTTGCAGGGCTTCAAGCTCGCAAACAGATCGACATGTCTGCTGCCACAGCCATGGATCAGTTGAAGGGGGATTTGGCTGCTACAGCCAATTTTCTCCAGTCCATGACTGCACTCCCGAACTACGACAGTGTTAGAGAGGTGCAAGCAAAAGCCCTTTGCCAGCGAGTGAAGAACCTTGCCTCCGTGGATGCAAATGGAGCCTCAGCCCTGCTGGCTGCATGGACTGCAGGAAAGCAATGGACTTCTCAACAAACAAAGGAGTTCAGTGATCTCTTGGCTGGAGCAGTAGCTAGAACCAACACCGGGACAGGTCAGGGTGGCAAGAGAGCTACTCAGAAAGTTGATGCTTTCGAACCTTACCTGTCCGTCAAAGATATCCAGGCTTTGGAAGCTGGTGACAACATCCACGTGAAGTTGGATGTCTTGGCATGCCGGTGCATCAAGCTGAGGCTCACCTGCCCATCTGAGGCTTGCTGCAAAGCGATCTTGGCAGCTGGCTTGGCCAGGGCAGGCGGTGATGTGGGGGCGGTTGACAGCTATGCCAACAAGCAGCTGTTCAAGAAAATGCTGAAAAGCAAAGCCAAAGGCTTGCCCAAGAATGGCTTTCACCTCGAGCATTATCCAGCATCGCCAGACAATCTGCCCCCTGAGCTCGCCGATGCATACTCTCAAGAGGATCCTGCATGCACTGTGCAGATGCAATCTCCCGACAGGGTGCAGGCAGCATCATCTGCAATCGTGTTGAGAGGGAGCTCGAAGAAGCTTCGTGGTGGAAACATGATGGGTGCCGGTGGCATGCAGAGCTGGCCTGCAGTGTGTGCAAGTGGCAACAACAACCCCATGAACATGCAATTCAACATGGGCCTGCAAGGCATGCAGCCCGGGATGACGATGATGGGTATGATGAACACCATGAACAACATGATGCAGAGGCTCATGCAGGACCAGAATAAGCAGCAGCAGGACCCGATCCCGAACATGCAGTACTTCGCACCCGGTGGAGGTCAAGCGGGGGCAACCACCATGGGCCAGGGGCCTGCAGCAGGAACCCAGGCACCTGCAGCAGCAACCCAGCAGGCACCCGCAGGGGCATCTGCATCGGTCCAGCAAACAGCACTTGTGGCGGCAACGAATGCATCAGCTGGTGTCTCGCCGGCAGTGCAGTTGGAGATGAGTGATCCTGAAAACGACGAGGCCGACGAGGCAGAAGTGTTGAGGCAGGCTGGGCTCGTTGCAGATGCAGTCAACAAGAAGAAGGGGATTCTTAAGAAGCCTGCAGGCTTGCCCAAGGCAAAGGCAAAGGCCAAAGCCCATGCCAAAGCAAAGGCAGCCAGTAAGGCCAGTGCCAAGGCCAGTGCCAAGGCCAGTGCAAAGGCCGTTGCAAAGGCCAGTGCAAAGGCCAGTGCAAAGGCCAAAGCCGCCCCGGCCGGTAGCAGAGAATACTATGCCAATCTTTCCATGAAGAAAAGGGTGAGCCTTCGCCCGAATGGTTGCAGCAAATGCAGATTCGCACCAGGCTGCAGGCCCAGCTGCTTCTGTAAGTAATAGCTGCTTGCCCGATTCAAATGACCGGCTCGATGAGTGGGGAACTCGTCGACTGCAGCACAGAGGGAGGAAAAGATCATCATGCAGGCATGCACTTATGCACATCATGTTGCCTCTTCTGCTGCATGTGTGTGTGTCTTGCCAGGCAGCATGTAAACCTGAGTGATCGGATCGGCTTGCAGATTGGTCTGATGCTGCATTGCAAGTATAAATATCTCCTGTATATATATATATGTATATATATATATATATATATGTATGTATGTTACATACTTACACACACACATATATAATATATATATATATATTATATATATATATATATTATATATACGTGATATTATATATTGGTAGATATAGTCCAGCCATTATAAGAAATTAGTTGTAGATCGTGTGCATACATTGTATCATACGTGCATCCAGAGGTTTTTGTTGTGTTGAAGAAGGTTTCGTGGGGACAAGGATTTATAGACAGGTTGACACATGTTGTATGTACAAACATATTTATTGTAAGAATTGTTACTTCTAATATCCGGTGCCTGCAGGGCATTTTGCTCGCGGGCAGCCATCTTTATAATCTATGTCGCTCGCTACCATCGGCAGAAAGCACTATGTGAGCCAGAGTGCTCTGGAGGCAGTACTGAAGGAAGTGGCTGCATGCCCTGAAGTCCTTGACTCAGCCTCCCGGCGAGGCATCAAAAGGGCACGGGATTCCGAGCTGGAGGCAGAGACTCCTCATGGCCCTTTGGTGGCCAAGATTACAGTACCTGTGGAGGTGAAGAGCCGAAAGGCAGCTGGAGACGAGGAGGTGAAGATCGTGCCGACAGAGCTGCCGATCCTCAACCTGATGGCATGGATATGGCATGTTTGCCAGTCCATGCCTGGTGTAGCTGCCTTTTTCCAAAGGCAGCTATCGAAGTACCCGTGCACAGCAACCAGCCCATGGCGCATGGCTTTATACAATGATGAGATTAGTCCTGGCAACCAACTAAAAGCCAGCAACACCAGGAAGATCCAAGGGTACTACCTCAGTTTTCTCGAGTTTGACGCCGAAGGCCGATGCCAAGAAAACCTTTGGTTCCCTTTGAACTTGACTCGGTCTTCGGTGGTCAACAAGATCCAGGGCGGGCTGTCTGCACTCACCCACATTCTGGTCTCCTCGGAATCGTTCCTGAACCTCCAGTCGGGCTGTTTGCTGAACATGCCAACTGGGGAACGGGTCATGTTCTTCGCGAAACTGCATACTGTAGTTGCAGACGAGGCAGCTTTGAAATCTATGTACGACTTCAAGGGCTCCAGTGGGACTTTGGTTTGCCCGCTATGTGCCAACATAACAAGCAAGACCCACGGTGATCTGCCAGCAAATGACCACTCGGGAGAATTGCATGACATATCATGCATCGACAGCAATCTGTTTGTCCGCAGAACCGACAATCAGATCTTCACTGCACAGGCACTGCTGGCGAGAAGGCAACCCATCCTGAGCAAGAAGGATTTTTCCTTGCTCGAGTCCAGCATGGGCTTGAACTTCAACCCATGTGGAGTGCTTGCTCACAAAAGCATGCCGCTTGTGAAATGCTTGATGTGGGATTGGATGCATTGTTATGTGGTAAGCGGCCTCCTGCACGTGGAATTGAGCTTACTCTTGCCACTCTTGCATGTGCAGGGTGCAACATTTCAGGTGATCCAGAGCTTTATCTCAGAGTACGAATGGCCTCACAACCTGAAGAACCGGAGAAGAGAAATCTTGCATTTGTTCGACAAAAGGAGCAAACCTTCTGAGTTCAAGGCCGGTGCTTCGCAGTGCATCACTGTCTATCCCTTGCTGCGGCTTTTCTTGCTGACTCATCACTTTGACACAATGGACGACGAACTTCGGCGATGCATCAGATCCTTTATGAAGATTTGTATGGTTCTCGACCTCCTGCTTGAATGCAATCGGACTGGGAACCTGTCGCCGGACGAGCTCGAGAATGCGATTCGGGCCCATAGCCAAGCTTTCCTTAAAGCATATGGAGAGCAGCACTGTATACCGAAGTTCCACTATAGCCTCCATCTTCCCCTGATGGCTCGAGACAGGCCTCTGATTTCCTGTTTTACACACGAACGAAAGCATCGGCAAGTGAAGCAGTTTGCTGACAACACGAAGAAAGTGACCGACTGGTTCGAAGCTTCACTCTTTAAAGATGTTTTGGGCAGGGCTCTTCTGGATCTGTCTGAGCATGCTGGCTTCATGCGGCCCCATTTGAAGTCCCCCAAGTCTGTCACTGATGGCACTTTGCTGTGGCACCTGGGGCAGACATTCGGGTTTCAGACTCTTGAGCATGTGCAGTCGGCCATGCAGGCCGAGGTCTGCCCAGGACAGACTTGCGAGAGGGGTGACCTGGTGCTGCTTAAGACGGGGTCCGTTGCAGAGGTGTGGTTGTTTTGCCGGTTGCAGCATGGCGAGCTCCTGGCTCTGTTGAGTGTGCTTGAGCCACAAGGGAAGAATCTCTTCCGGGTCAAGCAGGACGGAGCCCAGTTCATGCGAGTGGCCGAGATCAGTCGAACCTGCCTCTTCAAACGCATGAGTGCAGACAGCATGCTGGTCGTGCCATAAAAAAGATTGTTGTGCATATATGCCTGCGAGCGAATCGCCCTGCATGGCGACACATGAATTGTCACAGTTTTCATGTTCTGATCCTGCCTGCGAGCGAATCGCCCTGCATTGCGACATTGGATTTTTCATCATCCTCATGGGCATCATCATGGTTTTAAGGTGCTGTTAGTAAAATGCTAACTTCGTTAACTGTGTTTGGCTAACTTCTGTAATTGTACCCTGCTAACTGCACTTAGGTCAATTGCTATGTTAGACTAGCCATCCCCACTAAACTGTACAATCGATTACTAACTTATGTATCTACTTATTAACCCACCGCCCTTAGAAGTATGGTAAAGTACAGGGAATCCCCGCGCGCCAATCATCCTAAATCCATGTTCCAAGTTTCAGGGGATAATACTAACACAAACAGTGGTTATACTAATACTACTTGAAGGCTCATGGGACTTAGTAAGTAAGGTTATAAGTAGGGTTATAATTAGGATAACCCCATAACCCCAATTATAACCTACTTACTAAGTCCCATGATCCTCTAAGTAATGCCGATACTAGCCCAACAATCAACCCTGAAGGCCTTATTTCTAAAGGCGGAAACCTCCTACCATAATCGCTGAACCCTAGGCTGCAGAACTCTACTCGTAAGATTCGAGTACACCGACCTAAAGATTCCAATCTCCCCTTCCAGGCTCAGCGGTTTGGTGCTTGGAGCTTTGGGTTTAGGGTTTATACGCTTGATGATATAAATCCTGCATTACCCATAATAAGCAATATATCATAATTCCCATACTTTAGGGTCCTTAAGGTAATGCAGGATTTATATCATATGAATGCAATCACTCTAAGGTCAAGGCTGCAGTGCACGCTCGTCTTCATTTTCACTCGGACACTGCAAGCTCCGAAGTCGAGGGGGCCGTATGTCCGTTGGCATAAAAGAAGCTTTCTCTGAAAGCCTTTCAAAGCGGCCCTGGCAGCAGGCTAATTTCACCCCACCAACACTAATGAAACGCCAGAATGGCACTGCAGCCACTGGGGCTGATAAGCCCCCCAACCCTCGCAGTCACCACTTTGAGGGAAGGGTCAGGGCGGGAAATCAAAGGACCTCCGCTTTCCCTGAGACGCAATGGCTAGGAAAAGGAAGGTGTGATGTGATTCATATAAGAGCTTTGGACCCTACTCCAACCAGCCATGCTACAAAGCAACTGCATATGAATGCAATCACTCTAAGGTCAAGGCTGCAGTGCACGCTCGTCTTCATTTTCACTCGGACACTGCAAGCTCCGAAGTCGAGGGGGCCGTATGTCCGTTGGCATAAAAGAAGCTTTCTCTGAAAGCCTTTCAAAGCGGCCCTGGCAGCAGGCTAATTTCACCCCAATGTATCATCTGCCCAACGTAACAAGGCATCCGACAACTGAAGGAGCGACAACTCTCGGAATTCATGCCAAGGATTGGACTCGCTGTCCACCCACTCAATCCAGACGCGAGCTCCAAGAGTGGCCCACAAAAGATGAGTCACTGCAACCAGAGTTGACATATCGTCAACGGAGCTGGCTCCACGTACAAGGCTAGCGCACACGCTTTGATTATCTATAAACCAAATAATCTCCGCACCTGCCAGCTTTCGGCGAAACTGGAGCGTCGCCAAAACCACAGCCATCGCTTCCAGAGGAGCGATCTGCGTAGCCCTGTCAGCAAAACTGTCAAGCACCTGTGCTGGGACCCAAGAGGCGCGGCCTTGAGTCGGTTCATCCCTGACAAAGATGACGGAACCCAATCCGGGACTAGACATCTCTGCCGGCTCAAAACTGGCATCTGTATAAACCACAACCGGGGAAACGGGAACAGAGTGCAGCGGGACAAGCCTAGGAGGGACTACCTTAACTAAGGCTTGGATGTAGCGTAATGCTGCAAGGAGCGGCTCATCCAGCTCGCAACGGCCAACATCGTACTGCCTGTCACACAGCGGTCCTTGGCCACCCCGGCCACACCGGCCGAACATGGCCGAAGCAGCCCACACCATCCGTCCCCTCAACTTAGACGCTTCACTGGGAGTGCAAGAGCCTGCATCTATCATTCTCTGGACATCCGCGAAAATTGTCTCGCGCAAACCAGGCTTAATGTCAACCAAAATGGTCCTATCCGACAAAGCCCTGGAGAGATTCAAAAGCACACCGAGGAAGAGCCTCTGGGTGGCCATAGGCTGCTGCTTCAGGATGTCCAACCTCACTCCCATGCTCTGGTAAACGGCATTCACGCATTCCTGTGCTGAGCCATGCGCGGATGTTAAATCCAAGATGCCGGAATCGTCAAAGAAGTGAGTCACACACGCACCCGTCATGCGGCGCAGGCAGGCTGTACCCAAGCAAGGAACCCTATTAAAGTTTACCACAGCACTAGCTAAACCAAAAGGGTGTGCCCTGAGGATCGCGTAACGAACCTCGTCAAGGTCCGGATCCCAATAGGCCAGGACCAATCCCGCAGCCTCGCATGGGATATTAGGCAGCTGTCTGTAAGCAGAAGACATGTCCTCAGAACCAAAGACAGGCTGAGCCCAATCCAGCGAGTCATCACCAGTCCGCGCCAGGAGCTCAATGAAGAATTTTAGTGCTGCACTGACGAAGTCCGGTGAACTCGTAAAGATTGTTTCGGTCGCTACGGCACAAGCATTATGGCCGCCGCTCCGGCCGTCGTCTATCGGCCTAAGCTTGCCGCAAGATTGCTGATGCATAAATCGCCGCATCGGGGCCCATTGAAAGCGGCCAAAACGAGCATGAAGCTCAGCCTCAGTGAATGGACCTTCGGCGATACCCTCACTAATCTCCTGCAGGACAAATTGTTTGACCTCGCGCGCGAACTCAGCTTGGGGCAGATTCGCATGCAACTTCGCACACATAAGCTGGGCATGCTCCCCCGTGAGAGCCGGCAACCCAACCACCGGGGGAAAGGTTGGCACAATCTCACGAAAAAGAGAAGGAGATTCAATGAACCCCAGAAGACCAAACCCCCGAACGAACCGAAGCCCTAAAGTAACATCCGGCCATCGAAGCATAACTGCAAGGGCTGCCATAGTGGCTGGCTTCTTATCGGAGGCAACTGCAGACACCGACGGGTGCATCGCTGCGACTAGGGTCTTGTTGAGTTTATCCAGCGCTTTATCAAGACAAAGCAAGGCTCTGAGCTGCTTACGTCTCCATGTTCGAATGAACGGGCCTAGGGCTACCATGGCACGCACTGAGAAGCGAGCATCATCGTCAAGCACCGACGAAGTCTGAAAAGGAGATTGCAAGGATGTACTAAGTACCGCATGCGTATTTTTGCCAATGGACTCTGGAATCAAAGCGGCAATCGCATGACGGTGCAATTTGGCACCCTTCTGGATCCCCAAAGCTGCTGCTGACTCCCCGGCTGCTTTCTGCTGTGCCCACTCAGGGCCCATCTCGCTGATCGGCAGGTCTCTGAGGATCCGATCCACAGTGTAAACCTGCAGACGCTTGAGTGCCCGCTCAACATCGGGTGTGATTGGCATAGCGGGCAACTCCACATCTACATCCGCAAACAGCTCAGTCAAGCGCAAAGAAACATCCGAAGCCGATAACAATCCCGGGAATGAATCAACAAGCCCCGGCTGCCAAACTGTGCCCTGGCACTGATGGCGTAGCCGCTCCTCCATAGCACAATAACGCACAGTAGGGATAGCACACGCTTGCGGCACCAGCTGGAACAAAAGAATCAGAGCCAGCATAATCGACGGCACATGAAATGAATTGCCCACTGCAGAAGCCTTACGACGCTCAGCAACCTCGGGTTTCGCCTCCAAGCAGAAAGCAAGAGCTGATAGAAGCGAGGACGGGATACACATCATGGCAGCTTTCTCACTCGCTGTTGGCTGACGCCACTGATCTCCTTTCCACAGGAGCGCATGACTTTCATACGTGTGGACCGGAAATCGGCCCTGATCCTGCTTGAAGCGTGACACAGCTGCCTGGCTAGCCCGTGCATCTGAATCAATCTGGTGAGGAAACTCTTGCGTGAAGGTTGGGAAAGGGGAAGCATCAACTCCACTGGCAATGACTTCAGCAGGCACAAAGGTCGGAGCAAAGGCATCCTGGAAGTGAACTTTTGCAGGCAACGGCTTCTTGCCGGCCCACACCAGATGCTTCGAGTCACCACGGCTCGCCCATGACACCCCGTGCGACAAGCGAGGCTCAGACAAAGCAGCAAGTGCTCTATCCCCGACACAACCCCAGAAGCACCTAGACCTACGACACCAACCAAAACTACCAGCATGAACATGCAGCGGTGGCCCATGCATTTCGCGCGAAACGGCAGCCTGAAAGGATCGCGGTGTATTGGCCACATTCTCAAGAAGCTGCAACACAGGAATATCCAAGCTGAGCTCGGCAACAAGCTCCTGGCACAACTTGGCAACCCGCGGAATGCACTGGTAGAGCTGAGTACGACGGCTACTCAGACCGGCTCGATCTCGATTCAGCTGGCTAACATCCTGGCAAGGCGATCCCCCTGCGACCAAAATTGCTGTGTAGCCCCCTTCATGCAGCAACGAACGGAGCACAGAGGTATCAAAGTGCTCAGCGTCATGCTGGAAGAAAACATTTCCAAAACACATGCTCACAGCTTGCGTCAATGAAGAGTCTGCCTCAACAGCTATGGCCGAGAAGACAGCCCCCATACACATCAGGGCAACCAGCAAAGCCCCAATCCCATCAAACAGCGAAATCACAAGGATTGGACCCTCCCATGGAAGCTTCCAGGGAATCTGTGGCAAAGGCGAATCGCCAGTGTAGACCACATACTTGAGGCCCATATCGCGCAGCCACGGTCTGTAGGCCCAATCAGGCCTAGGGGCGAAAACCGAGGCAGGCTCCCAAGCTCGGACCGTGCGCCAAGCAGCTGGCACAGCCGCGTAATCCTGAGCAGCTGGGGAAACCGGGCCAGACGCATTAATGCGAACCTCTCGTAGCCCTGTGCCGATTGCTTTTGCG